ACCTCTAGAACTGTAAGATCACACATTTCTATTAAGTCACTATGTTCATGACAATTTGTTATAGCAGCAATACAAAATATCGAGTTGGCCAAAAAAGTTTTTTTCTGTAAGATGGCTCTCGTAGTGTTCAACTTCATTCTAAACAATTTTGTTAGGTTGTATTGTGACAGCTGTCACATTGGTGTGCATTAAGAAAACACTTATCAAAATTGGTGAATTTTTGTGTAGCTATTTTAATACTGAAGATGGAAGAAAGTGCACATTTTCAGCATATTATGCTTTATTTCAAAAAAGGTAAAAATGCAACTGAAATGCAAAAGATTTGTACTGTTTATGGAGAAGGTACTGTGACTGATCAAACGTGTCAAAAGTGGTTTGTGAAGTTTCGTGCTGGAGATTTCTCACTGCACCATGCTCCACAGTTGGGTAGACCAATTGAAAATGAGGCAATCAACTCAAGACATTGAGAACAATCAATGTTACACTACATGGGAGATAGCCAACATACTCAAATAGCCAAATCAATAAAGTTATTGGTGAAAATGAAAAATGTGTCTTTTATGGAAAAACTAAACAGACTTTTTGGCCAACCCAATAGAACACTCTTGTACTAAAACATGTATTAAGAGCATATAATCTTTTTGAACATTCTTCAGTATGGTTTGGTCAGTCAGTAATCAAAGGCTCTCTGATTTGATTGTTTTTCCTATTAAATCAGTTAACTTTACCTACAGTTTTTCCCAAACTTTATGTAATGCTGTGCTTTTGTGGAGATAAGAAGAGAGGAAGGGAGGGTAATACTCTTAATTAAATATGAGACACAGTGAATATTTATATTGACTTGAAAATCTGCATCTCAGAAAGATGCCACATCTGAGAATGTAAAAACCTGGAATAAAATCATGACATTTTTCTTAATCCGCACCCGAGAATATGTTCATTGATTTTAGCGAGAGAGTATGGGAGGTAGAGTGACAGAAACACCGTGAGAAACATTGATCAGTTGCTTCTCCCATGCGCCCCAACCAGGTATCAAACCGACATCCTAGGTGTGTGCCCTGTCCAAGGATCCATCCTGCAATCTTTTTTGTGTATGGGATGACACTCCAACCAATTGAGCCACTCAGCCAGGGCTAAAGCATGACATCTGATTGGAGGATTTTTCAACCTTTTTCATCTCACAGTATAAAAAATTACTAAAATTCTGCAGCACACCAATATATTTTTTGCCAATCTGACAAAAAATTAGCTATAATTTTGATTCACTCACATCAGATGGCTATTGTTGTGTTAGCTGTTGTCATTTTTCTAATTTGACGACCTAAGGGAAAAAAGGTCAGTGCCCCTGGCTACTCAGGTACTGCATGTTCTAAAAATCTTTGCGGCACACCAGCTGAAACCCGCTGGGTGAAGCATTAGTACAAGGGCAGCAAGGCCTAACAGTCTCAACATGTCACCATCTTGATGGCCTCTGTTCCTGGCCTTGTCTTATACTATGGGTTTATCATCTTTTTTATCCTTACCAAAATAAAAATGAGTTTATCAACTAGTTTTGTTAGAAAGGGGAAAACTAGTATTATATAACTGTATACCTGAAACCTAAATAATTTTATTAACCAATGTCACCCCATAAATTCAATAAAAAATAAAGGGGCAAGCTATTAGTCAAATAAATGATCATCCTTCAGCAATGAATTTATCAAAGGTCATTTTTGGTGTTCTTTAACCCATGTGCTCATCCTAGCTTACAAACGCCTATCATTGCTCGGCAGTACAACATTAAAAAGTTTTCATTAAGTTTGGGAAATTCTATACTATATGACTAGCAAACAATTTTAACTTCTGTGAAGGATGAATAACTGTTAATGATAAAAAAATATATAAATCAGGTTTTCTAAAATGGTTTTATTTTTAAAACCTATACAGTTTCAATAAAATATTGCCACAAAATATCTAATTATACAGCAACAGAAAAATACAGTTAGAGGTTATCCAAAAATAAATTCACAATTTTGAAGTTGATATACATGTTTTCTCAAATAAACAATTTAAGAAGTTTCAGACGGTTTTCTTCAACATCCGATACACATACTCAGTCTTTTGAATTCAAACTAGACAACCTCTTAATAACTTCATACATAAGTGCTTCTATTAACTTGAAAATAAAATAACCCTCAAAGCATTGAATTACTAACTTTATTTGGCTCACAAAGCCGAATAAATCATTGTTTTAAAATGTACTTGTGAAAATGAAGTCTACATCTGAGTTGTGAAGAACAAATTTTTTATTTAAAAAGTTGAGTCTTATTGATTTATTTTCTTTCAAACTTATCCTATTTAGGCTACTTTCACAATATATGTTAATTCTGAAAGAGTGTGAGGTGTTAAAATACGAAAAGCTTCTTTGGCCCATTAAATAAGAGGTACTGAAATGTAAACAATTGTAATGATGGCTTTCCAGATGTGAACATCTTTATCTTATTGAGCTATAGTCTGTCCTTGTTTCTCAAAGACATGAAAATTTCTTTCCTAATAATACAAGATTTGATATACTGAGATTTGTTTACAAATGCCTTAAGAATGAAAATTCATGTGTATGTCTATAAAGAATAGTTTCAAAAAATGAGAAGCATTACACAATATTACATCATAAGTTTTATTAATGGTAAATGTTTGCATTTATTTTTTAAAAGCTGAGCTCTTGCTAAGCACTTTAAAAAAAAAAAGCTAATAAGCAAGAATCATTTGCCATACAAAAACTATATTCACAAACAAGACTTTAAATTTAATCAACTAAAAGCTAAAAACCACTGTAAAAAATACAAAGCAAAACACTGCTGAGTCAATTAAACTTCTATCACTGAATATGCTGTACTTAGAATGACACAAGCATACTGAACTTAAAAACAATTTTGTAGATTCAATCTAAGTAAGACTAGCAGTAATACTAGCATAACAATAACATGCAATTTATAATTTCCACCCCCTACTCCTCAAATTTCTTTTAAACCAAATCACTTGAACAAAAGGTCTCTTTTTCATCTGAGAGGGCGACCATCTGTGTTAACCAAACAGATCCTCATTTCATATTAAAATGGCAAACTGAGCCCTATCTCCTCTTCCCAGATGCTACTTACACATGACTTTGCATAATGACTTAACACAGAATTACTTTTCTGGTAACAGTGTCATGGCCATAAATAATCAGTTAAAAAAACTATCAAGTGCAACTCTAGTAAACTTCCTTTAAAGAATTACCCAAACCCAGCACACATACAGTATCGCTATTATGCAAGCTTAAGCAACACAACTTATAAACATGTGCGTGCCTGCACACTATGCCATCTATAAAGTTTTAGTAATGTTGCCAAGTTAATAATTCTTTCAAGGCACTGAAGAATTATGTAGATGAACCTTCCAAAATATAACTACCAATTGCTTAAACTGTTAAAAAGCCCTGAGTCAGAACTTTCAGTAACTTCCTGAAATTATAGATTTCAGCCAAAATGGCATATGTTTATTTTATAGAAAATTACAAGACCATTTTGCTTTTTGGAGAAAAGAAGTCATGTCTATGAAGCAAAATCAGAGAGACTATACAGGAAAAGTAAAATATTCAGCAATGCTATCTTTCATACACATTTTATACATGTCAGTTACAGATTGTAGTTATGTATTTAGGCACCAAATTGATGTGGCAAGTCACTTTTCCTGTATCTACTGCTTAAATCCTCAACAAAATAAAAATTTCAATTTTAACCTTGGGTTTCTATCTCCTCCTTAGTCACAAATGTGAATAAATGCTGGAAAAAATAACACTCTAACAGAAAAGGAGGTAGAAATGCTAATGTAGCAACTTATAATTTTAATTCATCAGCTTCACTATCTAGTTTATATTTTAGTACTCCAGTTTCACCCACTACTAACCATTTATCAGTAAACTGAGGCTCAATCTAAAGGATTTCCCCCTCACTATAGCAAAGCAATGTACACATGAGACAGCATTGAATAGTTTTTCCTCAAATTTAATGTTTTAAAGAAGTACAGCTGTAATTATTAATATGATTATAGTTTTATATATATATGTTAAAGTTCCAAGGCTATATATGATTATCAAGTAATATCAGTAAGCATTCCTATCATAATAGTCAAGCAAATAAAATTAGGTTGCTTTTTGAGAGAAAAAAATTTTAGAAACAGTTACATAGAGACTTAAAGACAACTGACATTTTCAACAAGGCACACATAATTTGTGATAATCTTTTACCCTACCAATTTAGTACAAATTCAAAGCTAAACTAAATCTAATGTTTAAAGTGTGTTTCTTTTCTCTGGTTCAAAATGAACTTGCAAACCCTACCAATTAACAGACATTTAAAACCTAGTCAATTATGAAGGAAGATAATTGTAAGGGGAAGGGGAAGAAATTCTATCATCCCCCGAATTTTAGGTACTTGATATTTACCATGACTTTGGATTTTTCAAATACAAACAAACTGTTAAGATAATTCAAGTGTTTATTTTTATATTTAATCAAACTTTGATCCCACTGTGAGGGTAGGGGAAGGGGTTTCTTGTTTAATGGGTATCAGGTTTTAATTTTTCAAGATGTGATCTGTTTTACAATGTGAATTTACTTAACACTACAGAACTGTACACTAAAAAATGGTTAAGATGGGAAATTTCAGGTTATGTGTTTTTACCACAATAAAAAAATGTAAAAACAAATTCTATTCCAAAATTTGATTTTTACACAAATTATTACTATTAAATAGTTTAGACAATCTGAGAAGGTAAGTGCTTTTCCTTATGGATTTTTTTTTAAAGCAAGTAGTATTAAAGTCTATAATTTACAAAGCAATTGTCAATTAAACTACGTTGAAAACTGATCAAAAGACCTTTCTATTATTGAATTAAATACACTTTCTCCACTTCTTGCTTTGATGGAATCTACACAGTCCCCCCTCCCCCACTTTCCCCCTCTAATTCAAACACTAACATTTCTTTCTTACTTGCTGCAACCCCCTACTCTCCTTCCTATCCTACCCCATCACTAATTCTCTTAGTTCATAAATTTAACTAATTCCTAGTTCAAAAGGGTCCAAAATTCATAACAAACAAAGAACAGCAACTGGGCATCACATAACTAAACAATATATTTCTACTGTGTGAAAACGAAGCAAGTTTTGAAATTTGAATTGGACAAATCTTAAGCAACATGCATTTCAATATGCTAGAATGGTCTTGGAGGCTAAAACCATCAAAGATATAAATCTAAGAAAGTTATTTTCAACATTATCAATTAATTTCGTGCCTCAGTAGCTAGCAATGTTTAAAATTACAAAAAGCATAATTCAGCCAGCTAAACACTTGCCTAACATTCCTATACTAATACAAAATGATTTTTTCTTGAATAACCTTCTTGCTTCCAGGAAATATTAAATACATATAATGAAAAACAATTATAATAGCACCACCATTTCTTAAGTTGTATGTTTTGAGTAACAAAATTGACAGTCTTAGAAAAATAAAGAAGAAAATGTGGTAGGTGTGAGAGGGTAGAAAAAGGGAGCCCATATACAACCTAATGATTTCTCTTATAAAACATGAAGAAGAAATGCCATCAGTACCTTTGGATTCCTTCTTTTTGTCTACAGATTATTTCAAAATACAACTGCATGATAAATTCTCTATGTGCTAAGATGCTGATCATTTTTTTTCAATGTCATGTATCTAGCCCCTGAAGCCCAATATGTTTTTTAATGAATACATGTCAGTTTTGTTTTTTTAACGGATTCTAGGAAAAGTAAAAGCTCTTTGAGGCATAAGATAAAGAGGTGATAATGAGAAGGAAACATACCTAACTGGGAAAGCACTGCCAAGAGACACGTGTAATAAGAGGTAGCAGTTTCACAGAATTAGAGGAAAGTCATTTAAACAATTAAGTTAATCTTTCTCTCTCTCACAATCCCAAAATAAATTTTAAAAAATATTTTCAGGTGCTTGTAAAGGTGAATAGAGAAACATTTTCTATTCATCAAGAAATTTCATCCCATTTTTCCTGGGTGTCTTTGTTCGCTCTGGATAAGGGAACCCCACTTAAATAGAGGAACCCCGCTGGCCAGCTGACAATAATTGGGACACTTGCCATCTCAGGGCCTGTTACTTCATCTACGACAAGAAAAAAAAAAAAAAAGAAAGAAATTTCAAAGTGGTACAAATACAGAAAATCCACCAGTGCATAACACTGTAATTATAGTGACTTTGTAGCTTTTTTAAGTTTTTAAGTTATTGTATCTTTAATATGGTGGAAATAAACAAGTCTGGAAAATGAAGTAGCCTTTTAGGAATATAAGTTTCAGCACTGCAGCTCAGAAGACAAATAAAGATTTAGCTCTATCTAAATCTTTAACTCAAAAAATAAAGGTAGAGCTCTAAGACCATGAAGTTCTCTGGTTGGCCAAACTATGCACGCATCAGCCAGGCAGGTGCTTCCTGCTTACCAGCAGATCTACTAGAAAAGAGATGAGTGACCTAGGGCATGGAAGAAAAGAACAATCTGGACTTACATTATTTTCAAAGCTGAAAGGACATAGTTTATTTGTCTCTTTATGTGATCATCAGACAGATGTTCTTTTTATAACTTCAAAATATGGCTTAAAAATAGCCTCAGTGGCCCTTTATTAGATAACTGAGTGGAGTCAATATAAATTTTCAAATGTAAATTTATAAAAATTTTATCATTCTAAACTATGTGACTCAGCTAAACACAGATTTGGAATTACCAAAACTATAAAACCAGCCAGCAAAGCTTGCCATTGTTTTCACCAGGACCTGCAATGGCAGCAGCCATTAAATAGTCAGAAATATGATGCTATGAGGACTAGAGACTTTGCACTTTTGAGAGTTAAGTTGTTGTAACAGAAAAACTGACCTAAGGATCAGATTCAAAGGGGGAAAAAATCTACAAGATAACTACTCTTAGGAGTGCATTTACACACAGTATATAGTAGACACTATTGTAAATAGCTGACAATCTTAATATCTAGCAGCAATGAACCCCAAGACACTTTTTTTATGTGTATATTCATCCTAGATAAGATTACTCATTCAAAGGAGAGAAAATGATTAGATGTTCTAGAGTCAAAAGTTTGAGTTAAAAAAATTTACAGGTAATTGGACATATTTCTGTAAATGTCCTAGTCATTCTTTTTAAAGTGAGTATTCATTTTTAGGTTATTTACTATGTCTTGGATATTGCTGGCAGTTTAAATAATATCCTTGTCTGTATGTATAGAGAGACTGTTTTCTTTATAGGAAGGCTTACTATCTGAGAGAGAAAGGAAGCAAGGCCTAGAATCAAAATTACTGTCAGAATGAATAGATATGGTGAAGAAAGGATTGCTGACTTTGGACCACGCATTATCCTTCTCAGATCACTGGGGTACCACTATTCAGTATTTTAGTAAAGCTGAATTGAACCTCAGAGGCCAATTAGGGGATTATCATTTCACTGGGCAGATCAAGCCTGGATAAGTAAACACAGGGAAAACTGAGGTACACTTTTCACAGGCATTTTCTTTTTAAAGGCTGGCTGAACACAACAGTGTATAAATTAATATATGAAAGGCAACCATTAATATTATTTAATAGATACTCTGTGACTGAATAATTTTTCTCCCTTCAGTTCCTCATTATAATTGATTTTTCCTTTTCATGTCTACCAGTCATTTTGAAACTGGCAACTGGACTCAAGTTTCCTTTTCCCTTTAAATCTAGAAAAATAAGATTAATGCAAAGTCATTATTCTCTCATTCTTTGCTTCCATTTACTCTAAGAATTCAGAAACAATCATTTGGATAACTTTATGTTTATCTTAAAAAGAAGTCTCTCTTCAATATTTCCTTGATACATGCAACAATGGTTTGACTTGCCCCTTTTATTTGATGCATAACTTTTCTGAGTACCTGTTAACTCGCTGTATGAAAAGTCTAACAAATTTGTAACAGAACCTTTGAGGATTACCCCATAAGAAATTTTCCCCTTAACCAATAGTAAATTACCTACAGAGTACATGGATTTGCTATTTCAAATTAAAACAAACAAAAAAAAACATGACTTCAACCACTGTTTGTGTTAAGTTTTTTTTGTTCTGATACATTTACAGTCTAATAATACTCTAGTAAAGAAACTATAATATTAAAAAATTCATTACAACCTCTGACTAGCTTAAAAGCTTACTAAGATCTCATGACCAAACACCTTAGCTAACAAAACACACTGAGTGTCTCGTTAATACAAAAGAATCCTTCGTTCAATAGCCTTGCGACAAATAGGACATTCGCTCATTCGGTCACCGCAGAGCTGGCACGTTCCATGGCCACATAGGAAAATCATATTCTTTAGACGATCCAAGCACACCGGGCACATTGTCTGGTATGGAAGATAAATAAAGTAATAGATGCTGAGACATTTTATATTTTGAAAGTATAACATGAGACAATTATGTAACATCACTTTCTTTTGTTGCTTAAATTTTAAAAAACTTTTAAATAGTTAAAATATGACCCCTATAAAATATAAATATTGGTTGTACTGTCAGGATAGTATAAAAGGCACTACATAAAACAAATAATGCATAAAAAATACTATATAAAACAAAACACACAAATGCCAAAATCTAATAGGGAATGACTATAAACAGCCCCATTCAGTCTGATTCCATTTCCCCAACTCTAGGTACTATGTTGTTCTTGTAGGCCTACTGGGAAAGGAGGAAATATAGAGATGTCTCTAAGAAACCATGTTAAGCACTATGCTAGATATGATACAATATCAGTTCTATTATCAATCCCCTTTAAAAAAGTGGAAACTGAGGTTTAGTGGGGTTAAAACTTCCCCAGAGTAAGCCATAATATGAACTCAAGTCACATGGCCCCAGAGCTCTTGATTTTAAACATTATGCTGCACTGCACTACTATCCACGTATATCTCCCCTTAGTTAAAAACAATTCACCTTAGCTACATTTTAATAAATCTGACTTCATGAACTCAGAAGAATTTAAAGGTATAATAGATATACTTCTATGAAACACTCTAGGAAAGCACATATTCATTTACAGAAAACATTTTGCATTTATAAAAACATAATTTATCTAAATATAGAGGGTGGAGCAAAAGTAAGTTTACAGCTGTGAAACATAAGAGTTTATTCTTGTATTATTATTTATTAATTATTGTATTAGTTTCCATATAAACTGTAAGCCTACTTTTGCCTACCCCTGTATTATAATATTTATCCTGAATTATACTTTTCCCCAAATAATATAGAAATGAAATAGTTAAACAAGAATGTCTAGACTAATAAGTAAGACCTGAAGCCTACACGAAAATGTAACTACCAATTTTGACAATACCAGAAATCATTGTGGAAAAACACAGCACATAAAAAATGGCATCATGATTTCAAGATGGTGGTAGAGCAGATGGAAGCTACACTCAGCTCCTCCCAGGACCAAACTAGAATTACAAATAAATTAAAGAACAATCATCCTGAACAACCAACTGAAGACTAGCTAAAGAGGAATCTTAAAACCAACGTTTTCAGAAGAAGCCACACCAAGACTGGAAGAAAGGGCCGAGATGTGAAAAGGGCTAGGCCCACTCATTCGGGCGGCAGCTGAGGTTCCAAAGGGTATCTCAGCTACAGTGTGGTTCCCTGAAAAGCGTAGGGCCTAAACCCCAAGATGACCACTCTCTCCCTGGCCCAGAGCACCAGAGCCAGTAAGAGGTACCCACACAGTATCTGGCTGTGAAAAGCAGAGGAGTTTCTGTCCGCCAGAAAGAGATAGGAGTCCACCAGGGCCACATATACCATCTTAAAGGGCTAACGCACAAAATTTCTTTCACAGCCACTTACTCTGGTCTCTGATAGAGAGAGGGTGGCGTGGACTAGAGTCGCATGAGAATAGTCTGGCACTGTGACTTGGGGAAGAGACCCTTGAGGGGCAGCCACCCCAATCCCTATGCTGTTTGTTATTCTCCAATATGACAGATACCATCTTTCTTGAGTGGAGCACTCCCCTCAGTGGGGCATGAGCCTGGGCGAAAGCAACAGCCCCACCCTCTAGAATCCCTCTCACCCAACCCTGCTGAGCTTAGACCCAGTTGAGGAGTCAGCTGCCTTGGCCAGCGTACAGAAGTTGAATTGACCCGTGGAGGGGGTCCGGGCCAGTTCCCCCATTTTCCAGTGAATCTGACTGATGCTCCTACCATAATTATGGGAGATCCTACACAACCACTCACCCAGCTTCCAGCAGACCCAGCCTCCACGCTCTGCAGGACCCACCCCCTCAACTTCTAGTGGCTCCACGCTGCTGAGGTCAGGGCAAAAATCTGCAACAGACTGAGTTGTGTGGCTCTGGGGAGGAGATCACAACCACCACCTTACCTGAAGCCTGAGTGGCACCTCCCACTCACAGGAAATCCACTAGCCCCATCCTCCTGACTCCACCAGCTCTTTCAGTGACTGAGCCTAACAGGCAGCCAGCAGGTGGAAGCAGCTGAAGGTGGATCTCAGGGTGCCTTGGGACTTCTGTTGACCTGTCCATGGGCCTGGTGCTGGTAAAAGCCAGCCTTAGAGCGCAGCTTGGTCCTTCCTGTGCACACCCAAGCCCAGCAGAGGCAGTCACAAACTGTACCACTTGTAGCTCTTGTTTTCCAAGAGCCAGGCACAGGCAGCATCCGACATCGGCCTGACCCAGAGTCCCTCCCAAGAGGCCCAGAAGCAGCACACCCAGTGACCACAGACAACTTCAGAGCAGGATCCATAACTTCACTAGCAGCTTATCCAAAGGGAGATCTCAGTAGGACTCAAACGCTGCTGAGGTGAATTCGGTTTCATGTGGTCAGTGCTGGTGCAGCAGCTCACATGCTGTGGTCAGGGTTGAGCCTCATAGTCATCGAGCCTCACTGCTGATCCCACACACTCAATTACAGGAGGATGGACCACATACTCAAACAAGGGACATTCTGGGAGCACCCAGCTCAGGTAATCAAAGGAGACTACACCACAGGGTCCCACAGGACACCTACTACATAAGGTCACCACACCAAAACTGGGAGTCATAGCAGATCTACCTAACACATAGAAACAAACACAAACAAGTAGCCAAAACAGGGAGACAAAGAAACATGCCCCAAATAAAAGAACAGGAGAACTCTCAAAAAAAGAGCTAAATGAAATGGAGTCAAGCAATTTAACACATACCAAGTTCAAAGTAATGGTTATAAGGATGCTCAAGGGACTTAATGAGAACTACAACACATGAAAAAGGACATAGAAATCATAAAAAAGAACCACTCAGAAATGAAGAATACAATATCTGACATAAAGAATACACAGAAAGGAATAAATAGCAGGTTGGATAAAACAGAGGATTGAATCAACTATTTGGAAGACAAGGTAAAAAAGAAACACCCAATCAGAGCAGCAAAAAGAAAACAATGAAAAAGAATGAGGATAGTTCAACTGACCTTTGGGACAACATGAAGTATAACAACATCCACACCACAGGGGTATCAGTAGGAGAAAAGACAGAGCAAGGGATCAAGATCCTATCTGAAGAAATAATAACTGTAAACTTCTCTAACCAGGTGAAGAGAAAAGACACACAAGTCCAAGAAGCACAGAGAGTCCCAAACAATATGAAACCAAAGAGGCCCACACCAAGACTAATCAATATAAAATGGCAAAGACAAAGAGAGAACTTTAAAAGCAGCAAGAGAAAAAATTACCTACAAGGGAGCTCCCATAAGACTATCAGCTGATTTCTCAACAGAAACATTTCAGGCCAGAAGGGACTGGCATGAAATATTCAAACTGATGAAAGTCAAGGACCTACAACCAAGACTACTTTACCCAGCAAGGCTATCATTTAAAATCAAAGGAGAAATAAAGAGCTTCCCAGACAGAAAAAAGCTAATGGAATTTGTTACCACCAAACCAGTATTACAAGAAATGTTAAAAGGCCTGTATTAAGCAGTGGTAAGAAGAAAGGGGGGGGGGGACCCAGAGAAATGCAGTTAAAAGAATAAAATGGCAATAAATAAATACATATCAACAATCACTTTAGATGTAAATGGCTTAAATGCTCCAATGAAAAAATATATGGTAGCTTAGCAGGAAAAAAAGCAAGACCTATATATATATATCCTGTCAACAAGAGACCCACTTTAGAACAAAAGGTACACACAGACTAAAATTAAAGGGGTGGAAAAGATATTTCATGAAAATGGAAATTAAAAAAAAGAGCTGGGGTAGCAATACTTATATCTGACAAAACAGACTTTAAAACAAAGGCTATACAGTAAGATACAAAGAAGATGCTACACAATGATAAAGGGAGCAAATCAAGAAGAGGATATAACCCTTGTAAACTTATGCACTCAACATAGGAGCATCTAAATATGTAAAGCAAATCTTGATGGACATAAAAGAAGAGATCAACAATAATATAGTCACAGCAGGAAATTTTTAACACCTCACTGACATCAATGGATAGATCTTTCAGAGAGAAAATCAACAAGGAAACAGCAGCTTTAAATGACACTCTAAATCAGATGGATTTAACTGATATCTTCAGAGCATTTCATCACAGAGCAGCAGAATATACATTCTTTTCAGGTGTACATGAAACATATTTTAGGACAGCCCATATGTTAGGACACAAAACAAGTCTTAGTAAATTTAAGAAGACAAAAATCCTATCAAGCATGTTCTCTGATCGTAATGGTATGAGAAACAAGAAATCACAAGAAAAATACTGAAAAACACTTAAAGACGTGGAGGCTACATAACATGTAACTAAACAATGAATGGGTTAACAATGTGATCAAGGAAGAAATCAAAAGAAACCTTGAAAAAAATAAAAATGAGAACAACCCAAAATCTGTGGGACACAGTTAAAGCAGCCCTGAGAGAGAAATTCAGAGCATTACTGGCTTATCTCAAGAAAGAAGAAAAATCTCAGATAAACAATCTAACTTTGCACTTCGAAGAACTTGAAAAAGGACAAAGTCCAAAGTGAGTAGACGGAAACAATAAAGATCGTAGCAGAAATAAATGCAATAGATCTAAAAAAACCAAAAACAATACAAAGGATCAATGAAACCAAGAGCTGGTTCTTTGAAAAGATAAACAAGATTGACAAACTTTTAAGCAGACTCATTAAGAAAAAAACAGAGAGGACCTAAATAAATAAAATCAGAAATGAAAGAGCAGTAACAACTGATACCAAAGAAATACTAAGGACGTAAGAAAACATTACAAACAACTACATGCCAACAAACTGGAAAATCTGGATGAAATAGATAATTCCTAGAAACATACAATCTCCCAAAACTGAATCAGGAAGAATCACAGAATCTGAATAGAGAGATCATAACCATTGATATTGAGGCAGTAATCAAAAAACTCCCAATAAACAAAATTCCTGGACTGGATGGTTTCACAGGAGAATTTTACCAAACATTTAAAAAAGAACTAACACCTAGTCTTCTGAAACTATTCCAAAAAATACAAGAGGAGGGAAGACTCCCAAGCTCATTTTATGAGGCCAGCATTATCTTAATTCCAAAACCACATAAAAACAATACGAAGAAAGAAAATTATAGGTCAATATCCCTAATGAACATAGATGCTAAAATCCTCAACAAAATATTAGCAAACAAGATTCAGCAATTCATTAAAAAAATCATATACCATCACCAAGTGGGATTTATTCTTGGGATGCATCTATTTATTCAATAGGTGAGAAAAAAAATTTTTCATAAAACCTAGCACCCAGTTATGATAAAAACTCTTAGCAAAGGGGAACAACGGGAACATACCTCAATGTAATAATAAAGGCATTAGTGACAAACACACAGCCAACATCGTACTCAATGGGCAAAAAGTACAAGTGTTTCCCTAAAGATCTGGAACAAGACAGGATGTCCACTTTCACCACTCTTATTCAACATAGTTCAGGAAGTCCTCGCCACAGCAATCAGACATGAAGAAGAAATAACAAGCATTCAAATTGGAAAGAAAAAAGTAAAACTGTTATTACTTTCAGATGACCTGATATTATATATAGAGATTCCTAAAGATTCCACCAAAAAACTACTACAACTGATAAATGAATTCATTAAAGTGGCAGGATACAAAATAAATATCCAGAAATCAGTCGCATTTTTATATACCAATAACTATCAGAAAGAGGAACTAAGAAAACAATTCCATCAACAATTGAATTAAAAAAAAAACAAAAACCCTAGGAATCAATTTAACAAAGGATGTAAGAGACCTGTACTCAGAAAATTATAAGACATTAAAGAAAGAAAATGAGGAACATACAAATATGTGGAAGCATATGCTGTGTTCATGGATAGGAAGAATTTACATCATAACAATGTCCATAGTACCCAAAGCAATCTACAGATTCAACACAAATCCTATCAAGATACCAATGGCATATTTCACAGAACATTACAAAAATTTATATAGAATCACAGAAGACCCCAAATATCCATAGCAGAAGAACAAAGTTGGAGGAATCACACTACCTGATATCAAACTATACTACAAGGCCACAGTCATCAAAATAGCATGGTACTGACATAAAAAGACATATAAGATTAATGGAACAGAAGAGACAGTCCAGAAATAAACCTACACCTTTATATTCAATCAGTATTTGACAAAAGAGGCAAAAACATACAATGCAATAGACAGTCTTCAATAAATGGTTTGGGGAAAACTGGACAGATAGATACAAAAAAATGAGACTGACAACCTTCTTACAGCATATAAAGGAATAAACTCAAAATGGTTAAAAACTTAAATGTTAGACTCAGAACCATAAGAAATCATCGGCGGTAAAATCTCGGACATTTCTCATAGCAGTACTTTTTGATATATTACCTCGGGCATGGGAAACAAAAGAAAACATAAACAAATGGGACTACATCAAACGAAAAATTTTTTTCACAGCAAAGGAAACCATCAACAAAATGAAAAGATAAGCCACTGAGTGGGAGAACATATTCACCAAAACATCTGATAAGGGCTTAATATCCAAAATTTATAAGGAACTTATGGAACTTAATAAAACTCAACACCAAAAAAAACAATCCAGTAAGAAATAGTAAAGGATCTAAATACACATTTGTCTAAAACGGACATACAGATGGCCAACAGATATGAAGAGACACTCAATGTTACTCATCATCAGAGAAATGCAAATTAAAGCCACAATGAGGTATCACTTCATACCTGTCCGAATGGCTATCATGAATAAATCAACATACAACAAGAGTTGGTCACAATGTGAAAAAAAGGGAATCCTTGTGCACTGTTGGTGGGAATGTAGATTGGTGCAGTCACTGAGGAAAGCACTATGGAGTTACCTCAAAATATTAAAAATAGAACTGCTTTATGACCCAGCAATTCCACCTATATACCACTTGGGAATATATCCAAATAAACCAGAAATACTTAATTCAAAAAATTATATGCACAATATGTTCATTGTGTATTATTTACAATAGCCAAGATTTGGAAACAGGCCAAGTGCCCATCAGTAGATTAGTGGATTAAAAAAAGCTGTGGTACATTTACACAATGGACTACTACTTGGCTGTAAAAAAAAGAAAGGAAATTTACTTTTTGCGACAGCATGGATAAACCTGCTGCTAAGGAAAATAAGTGAGAAAAAGACAAGTACTGTATGATTTCACTTATATGTGAAATCTAATGAATAAAATAAACTAACAAAATAGAAACAGACTTAAAGATACAGAGAACGGTCTAACAGCTGTCAGTGGGGAAAAGGGTTGGGTCTAGGTGAAAAAGTAGGAGGGATTAAGCAAAGAAAAATAAAAATACTCATAGACACAGACAACAGTATGGTGATTACCAGAGGGAATGAGATGGAAGGAAGTAAAAGAGGGTAAAGAAGAATAAATGGCGATGGAACACTTGACAGGGGTGTGGTGAACACACAATACATTATATATATGATGCAGTATAGAACTGTATGCATAAAACCTACATAATTTCATTAACCAATGTCACCCAATAAATTTAATAATAAAAAATTTTACCAAGTTAAAAAAAATGCAATTGTAGCCTACCTTGTTGACCCCACACTTCCAAAGTAAATTTTCACATTTATTTTAAAGTTTTGAAAAGTAAAACTGCAGAAAATCATGTCTTTTATTTTAAAAAGCCAAATTAAATTAAGTTTTCATGAGTTCTATATAAGTAATTAAAAACTCTTATTTCCAAAAATAAACACATCTGTGCAGCCTGGGTTGAGTTACTTCGAGTTAATACATCTGTAAGAGCACATGAAATTACTGTCTGTTAAAGAGACACTGGGGTAAAGGAAAGATTAGAGATTTAAAATAAAATAGGAGAGTTATTCAGATGCTTTCTCTTTATAACTTTTTAACTCTTTAACTCTTTATAACTCTTGCTGAGGGGGTCCCAGCAAGAAATCCCATCATTCCACAGAAAATATATTTAAAGTATTTAAACACTTTATTGATAAAATGTGGTAATAAAGATAATTTAAGGAAGAATAAATGTTTCTGAATAGTAAACTTTGGATAAAGGTAAAGCTGAATTATCCTTTTAGATCCATATATGGTGTCACTATTTATTATAAAAGCAATTTTAATTCACAATTAAGAGATACAATGCTTTTCACAGAAAGTGTGTCCAAGAATCAGTTTTAGCTTTATATAAGTGTCTATGGAAAAGGAACTGTGGTTCTAAAGAGCTTCAAAATTCTAAACATTTTACTTTATACTAGAATGAGCTAAATATGTTCCTACTTTAATATTCGTACATTAAGAACTTGTATGTCCATATTTATCTTTACTTATTTACTATATAACAAGTATTACTGGGCACTAGATTTCAGAAGAAAAATCGGCCCAATCACAGACTTTTCATCTTTTCAGATGGGTACACACAGACCCATCTGAATTTCAATTTCCCATTTAAATTTCTAATAAATATACCCATTTAATTCTAAATTAGTTACCACAAGGGTCATTAGTTATCCTACATCACTGTCTATTGACAATATTACATTCTTACAAATTCTGATAGAAAAGACAAGTGTTGACTCCAATACTGCATGGCAACACTGATGTAACTATCTACTAAAGAAATAACACCTTTTTGCAGCTCAATCCTTTGAATTAAATCAGATTTAATTGCTGGGTCAAATAGTAACATTGGTGGGAAGAAGACTTTCTTACCATACGTCTCAGGTTTTAGCTAATTTTCATTATTTTATTGTTGCTTTTATTGAGTAGGTATAAGAGCATTTCTGTTGGTATGTACAAAATATAAAAAACAATATGACCACCACCCAGTTTAAAACATGGAACACAGCCTTTTCATTTAAAGCCCTTCCACACATCCTCCCCAATCCTTTCCATCCACTTCTCACTGATAAACACTATTTTGAATTTTGCATTTATATTTCCTTCATTGTGTGCTTGTGTGTATAAAGTATCATATCTAGAGAGAAATATGCATAAATCATAAGTGCACAGTTTAATAAAAGTTCACAAACTGGTAACATGAATGTAATTGATAGTTAAATCAAGAAATGGAATATCAGTATTCTAGAAACTTCTCTTATGCCTCTTCCCCAGACATCTTAGCCAAGAAAAAACCACTACTCTTGATTTTAAATGCCATCTGTATGATTTTTCCCAAGTTTGCATCCCCAAACAATATTCTATTTAGTTTTATTAAATAATGACAAATTTTTCCAATGTGTTTTTTACTAACTTACATTCCTGCCAGCATTGTGAGTTATGGCTGCTACATTTTCTGCCTAAACACTTAACCCTGACAGTTTTTAACACTAAGCTTTTCGCACAGTCTGGTAGGTGGCAAAAGGTACCTCATAGTGGTTTTAATTTTCATTTCTTGATTACTAATGTGGTTGAGAATTTTTTCATGTTTATTGGTCATGTGAGTGTTTCCTATTTTGGCAAGTGCAGGAGTAAATCTTTTAATCAGATTTTACGTAATTGCAAATATTCAAATACTACAAGTGATACGTTAATATGAACCATGTCTATTGTAGGAAACACTAAACTCTGTTTAGTGTAGGAAACACTAAAATTATATGAAATGCCACTCCTAGAATCCTTTTTTACCACAAAGAAATCATTATTACCTGCTCTTTAATGTCCTGTAACTGTTGCTGCAACTTCTGCACATCTGCGTTGACATTGGTATTATCCTTGTCCTTTTGTAACACTGGGATATTTCCACTTGCTATAACACAGATACAACAATTTTTTTATTTCTAAAATTATTACTTTTTCATTAAAAACGAAAGACTATTATTAAACTCCTCTTTATGTAGTATTTTTACATGGATAACAGTTGTGACATTGATGTTATACTCCTTCATTTATAATCTTCACAAAGAAATAGGGTTACACGTTAATTTTTTAACAGCCAGACAACACTCTACAACCAGACTTTCAGGTTTTCCAAGGTTCTACTTGCTTCCTTTGACAAACACATTTTGTGCTTATTTTCCCTGTTCCTGCCCTGTACCAATCCAAGAAGAGAAGCAGCACAGCATTTTAACTAATTTTGGCAACAAGCCTCCTTCCTTTATTCCCAGCTCTCCTTGTTGTTAGTGATCTGAGATGAGAAACTCATGAAAGAAAGGCCATAATCAGTGGTCTACTAAATGAAAGGAAATTTTTATTTCACTTTTCCTACTCTCTAGATTTTTGGTCTTTTATTCTAGGTAATCTATCCCTGGGACTTTTATTCTGCTCTACTGGTGATAAAGACAAAAACCCCTGGGCAGAAGTAGTTACATTCATGTTTTCCTCATCTGTACACAGATCAAAGCAATCAAAGATATCATTCAGCTTATGTCTAGTGCAAAGATGAGAAGTATTTTTACACAGTTGTACTACTAAAAAGGTTAAAGGTAAATAATTTGCTTTTCATCTTTCCACTTGTTCACTTGCTTATACTTTAGTTTATCTACAGTTAGTTACTCGTCCCAAATTATTATTCTATAAAATACTCAAATGCTCTAGGTAAGCCTGTTAGATATAGGAGGGTTAAATTAATACTTATATAAACTGAAAAAATAATTTGTAATATGTTATTATGTTCACCCAAGATCTACTAAATTTTTTCTTAAAAGTAGACAGCAAATTTTATTTAAGCAAAAATACAATAATATTCTTTATATCACAGATGGCAGTATCTTAAAAAACTAATGTATAAAGTTCTATAATCATATCATCAACAAGAAAAATATTTTAGGTTTCTTGTAATGTAAGAAGAGCAAAGCCCTACCTGTTCCTCTGTAAATTCGAGTCATATACCTATGTTTTACAAGAGCACAATGTACTATACATGAAAAGAGATACTCAGGGAAGTTCCCCCAAAAAGGAAATGCTTAAGAAGTCCACTTACAGATATCATCAGTGGCATCTTCTGAACTTTTGCCTCCACAACACATAATGAAAGGCACTCTTCGTTCAACAACTGCCCGACACTGCACACACTTTTTCATCAGGCTAGCACAGTCTGGAGGATAACAACAGGACACTTCTTACAAAAGAGAACATGAATAGCAGGAGGGTTGCCTTTCTCTGCTCATTCTTATGATTTAAATTTAACACAGATAAACTACATTCTGCAGGTCAAACCCCAAACAGTAGCCTATTTTTTGTCAATAAAGTTCTAATGTAAAATAATCAAACCCATTCATTTAAATAGTCTATGCTTCTTTTGGCACTAAAATGGCAGAGTTGAGCAATTGGAAAGAGTTGGGGAGCTACTACAGAAACCACAGGGCCCACAAAATCAAAAATAATTATTATTCGGGAGTTTTTAAGATGGCGGAGGAGTGAATGGGAGTCACGCTGACCTCCTCCCAAGACCAAACTGGAATTGCGACTAAATAGTGGAGAAATCACCTGGAAAGCAATGGAACGATAGAGGGAGAGGAGCCTTGGAGCTGTAGACAAACACTGGAATCAACTTTCACACATCCCAACAGGTGAGAAGTCCGGTGGAGCCACAAGAGGGTGGGCTGGTTGCCCATGGGCACCAGCACCAGAGGGACATTGAAATGGTCAGTTGGATCCCCCTGAGAAGAACAGGGTCTGAACCATAAACAGGGACCCCTAGACTACAGCAGCTAGAACCAGGAAAACGCACAGACAAAACGCAACCCCAAAAGGCTTCCGGGTGCTTTCTGCAAGAGACAAGACGGCTGGAGATGCACAGAGATATTTAAAAGGCCAACGCAAAAATCTGCAGTGGCAGCCGCCTTCCTTGATCTCTGGGTAGAGGTGGCAGCAGAGTGGGCCGGTGCCTGAGGAAAGATGGGTGAGGAAAACTTTGTGAAGAGAACTGAGACGGTGCCCAGCTGAGCCCCAGTGATAACTCACCTCCAACTCTGCAGCTACCATCTCACTCAGGCATAAGTGGGTCAATAAACCTGCCTTTTGTGCACTCTGCACACAGCTTGTGCGCATGTGGGCTGCGGGCTGAGTGCAGACTGGCTGGAAGAAATAGAGGATCCCTGGCCAAAAGGGACACACAGCTGTCTAGAGACCCTTGAGGAGAGACTGGAGATGGAAGCGTTGGGGAAAGAACTGGAGGATTAGCTGGTATTCCCGGGGCTGACTCCCTCCCCACTCCATGGTCTCCATTTTGTGCAGGCATGTAGGCCACACCCCCAAAAAGGCAGAAGTGGGCGCATGAGCCAGTCGACTCAGAAATATCACAAAACGATCTGCAGAAATAGTGGATCCTTGGCTGAAGGGGTCACAGAGCTGCCCAGAGACCCTCGAGGAGAGACTGGAGATGGGGGCACTGGGGAAAGAACTGGAGGAATAACCACAGAGTCCCAGTTCTGAATCCTCCCCCCGCTCCCCTGCCCTCCCTCCACCTCCACGTTCACCATCTTGCTCAGGCGGATTACTCCCCTGAGTGACAACAGCCTATAAGAACAGGACAGGCCCACCATCAAAAGGCACTGCTCCGCCCTGTGGTGCCTAAGCCTGACAGATGAGGACAGAGTGACCAGATTAACAATTATAGGAGACAGACACAGACAGTAGATTCCTGGAAAGCTCAAACAAATGACCCAAGGTCAGACAGGGTCAACAACTGACATCATCAGAGGCGGATCCAGAAAGAGAAGAAAAAAAATTTTTTAAAAGACCCACCTACTACCATACAAGTTTAATCCACAAAGTCAGGAAATCTGGACGGACCAATCTGAAGAAGTAGCAAAAAAAATCAAAAAACAAACAAACAAACAAACAAAAACTCTAACAAAAATGGGAAGAAAAAGAAGTTCTCCCCAAATGAGGGGAAAGGAGGAATCCTCACAGAGAGCTAAATGAAATAGAGGCAACGAAACTATCAGATACTGAATTCAAAACAATGGCTCTAAGGAAGCTCAATGAGCTCAGTCAGCTCAAAGAGAACTATGAGAAACTGCAGAGAAACTATCAGGATCTTACAGCAATCTATATCAACCTGGAAAAGGACACAGAAACTATCAAGAAGATACAAAAGGATATGAAGAATACCATTTCTGAATTGAAAAACAGGGTAGAAGGAATCAAAAGCAGGCTAGATGAACCCAACGATCGAATCAGTGAGATGGAGGATAAGGTAGAAAAAAGCTCCCAGAAAGAACAAGAAATGGAAAAAAGACTCAAAAACAATGAAGAGGCATTTAGGAAAATGCAGGACAACCTGAAACGCAATAATATCCGCAAAATAGGGATACAAAAAGGAGAAGAGGAGGAGCAAGGGATAGAGAACCTCTTTGAAAAAGTAATGATGGAAAATTTCCTCAATCTGAGGAGAGAAAAGGTCTCATGGATCCAGGAGACACAGAGGGCCCCACTCAACAGGGACCCAAGGAGGTCCACTCCAAGACACATCATCATTAAAATGGCAAATGTCAAAGACAAAGAGAGAATCCTCAAGGCAGCAAGGGAGAAGGAGAAAGTAACATACAAGGGGGCCCCAATATGCCTAGGAGCTGACTTCTCAACAGAAACACTACAAGCCAGAAGGGAATGGCAACAAATATTCCAATTAATGAAAAGCAAGGGCTACAACCAAGGCTGCTCTACGTAGCAAGGCTCTCAATTAAAATAGAAAGGGGAATAAAAAGTTTCCCAGACAAAAAGAAGGCTAAAAGAATACATCTCTACCAAACCAGCATTATAAGATATGCTAAAGGGACTGGTTTAAGAAGATGAAGGAAAAGAGTGAGAAAGAGAAAAACACAGATAAAAAGAGAAAGAATGAATAGGTTTCTATCAGTAATAACTCTCAATGTAAATGGACTAAATGTCCCAATCAAAAGACACAGGATAGCTGAATGGATAAGAAAACATGACCCACACATATGCTGCCTACAAGAGACCCACCTCAGAACAACAGATCTACACAGATTGAAAGTAAAGGGATGGAAAAAAATATTCCAAGCAAATGGGCAAGAGAAGAAAGCAGGGGTTGCAATACTTACATCAGACAAAATAGATTTCAAAACAAAGGCCTTAAAAAGAGATCCAGAATGACAATTTATAATACTTAAAGGAAGACTCTATCAAGAAGACATAAACATTGTAAACTTATATGCACCAAACATAGGAGCATCCAAATATATAAGGAAAATCTTGGACGACTTCAAAAAAGATATAGACAGCAACACACTGATAGTAGGGGATTTTAACACCCCACTGTCAAAAATGGACAGATCTTCCAAACAAAACATCACCAAGGATATTGTGGAGCTGAATGACGCACTGAATCAAATAAACTTAACTGACATATATAGAACCTTACATCCCAAAGAAGCAAAATACACATTCTTTTCAAATGATCAGGGAAGTTTTTCAAAGATAGACCACTTGATAGAAGACAAAGCAAGCCTCAGCAAATTAAGGAAGATTGAAATAACACCAAACTTTTTCTCGGACCACAAGGGCTTGAAACTGGAAATCAACCTCAAAGAGAAACTTCAAAAACTTGCAAACTCATGGAGATTGAACAGTAGACTACTAAACTATGAATGTGTCAATAATGAGATAAGAGAAGAAATCAAAAAGTTTCTGGAAACAAATGAAAATGAACATACAACAGTCCAAAACCTATGGGACACAGCAAAGGCGGTCCTGAGAGGGAAGTTCATAGAAATACAGGCTTACCTAAAAAAGATAGAAACATTTCAAAGACCTAACACTATAACTTCAAAAACTGGAGAAACAACAACAAATAAACTCCAGAGCAAGTAGAAGGAAGGAAATAGTCAAGATTAGAGCAGAACTGAATGACATAGAGACGAAAAGAACAATTCAAAGGATCAACCAAGCCAGAAGCTGGTTCTTTGAAAAGATAAATAAAATCGACAAGTCTTTAAGCAGACTCATCAAGGCAAAAAGGGAGAGGACCTAAATAAATAATATCAGAAATGAAAGAGGAGAAATAACAACTGATACCACAGAAATACAAAGGATTGTCAGAAACTACTATGAACAATTATATGCCAATAAATTTGAAAACCTCGATGATATGGACAAATTTCTAGAAAAGTATAATCTTCCAACACTGAAGGAGGAAGAAACAGAAAGCTTGAACAGACCAATAACAGCTGGGGAAATTGAACCAGTAATCAAGAAACTCCTGGCACACAAAAGCCCTGGGCCAGACAGTTTCACAGGGGAATTTTACAAAACATTTAAGGAAGAGTTAACCCCTGTCCTTGTCAGACTATTCCAAAAAACCCAAGAGGAGGGAAGCCTCCCAGACTCTTTTTATGAGGACAGCATCACCCTAATCCCAAAACCAGATAAAGACCCTACAAAGAAAGAAAACTACAGGCCAATTTCACTGATGAACATAGATGCTAAAATCCTCAACAAAATATTGGCAAACCGCATCCAGCAATACATTCAAAAGATTATCCACCATGATCAAGTGGGATTCATCCCAGGGATTAAGGGATGGTTCAATATACGCAAGTCAATAAACGGAATACATCACATAAATAAAAGAAAAGACAAAAACCACATGATCATCTCAATAGATGAAGAAACAGCATTCAGTAACGTACAGGACCCATTTATGATCAAAACACTCAGCAAAATGGGAATGAATGGGGCATTCCTCAACGTAATAAAGGCCATATATGAAAAACCTACAGCCAACATCATACTCAACGGGCAAAAACTAAAAGCTTTCCCACTAAGATCGGGAACACGACAAGATGTCCGCTTTCACTGCTTCTTTTCAACATCGTATTGGAAGTCCTAGCCACAGTGGTCAGACAAGAAAAAGAAATAAAAGGCATCCAAATAGGAAAGGAAGAAGTAAAACTATCACTGTTTGCAGATGACATGATAGTGTACATACAAAACGCTGTAGACTCCACCAAAAGACTCCTCAACCTAGTAAGTGAATTTGGCAAAACAGCAGGATACAAAGTCAACATTCAGAAATCAAAGGCATTTTTGTACACCAGCAATGAAACAGAAAAAGAAGAAATCAGAAAAAAAAATACCATTCAGAATAGCAACAAGAAAAATACAGTACCTAGGAATAAATTTAACCAAGGAGGTAAAAGACCTCTACGCAGAAAACTATACAACATTGAAGAAAGAAATTAAGGCAGACACCAAGAAATGGAAGCATATACCGTGCTCATGGATTGGAAAAATTAATATCATCAAAATGTCCATACTACCCAAAGCAATTTATAGATTCAACGCAATCCCTATTAAGATACCAATGACATATTTCACAGAAATAGAACAGACATTTCAAAAACTTATGTGGAACCATAAACGACCCCGAATAGCTGCAGCAATTTTGAGAAAGAAAAACAAAGTAGGAGGGATCACAATACCGGACATCAAACTATACTACGAAGCCACTATACTCAAAAAAATCTGGTACTTGCACAAGAACAGACACATAGACCAGTGGAACAGAATAGAAAGCCCAGAAATAAGCCCAGGTCTATATGGGCATCTAATATTTGACAAAGGGGGCAGAAGCATAAAATGGAGCAATCATAGCCTCTTCAACAAATGGTGTTGGGAGAGTTGGACGGCTACATGCAAAAAATTGAAATTGGATCATCAGCTGACACCCTACACAAAAATAAACTCAAGATGGATAAAAGACTTTTAAATATAAGTTGCAACACCATAAAAGTTCTAGAGGAGAACATTGGCAGGAAACTCTCAGATACCTCACGCAGTAATTTTTTCACCGATATGTCTCCTAAAGCAAGGGACATAAAGGAAAGAATAAACAAGTGGGACCTCATCAAAATAAGAAGCTTCTGCACGGCTAAAGAAAACATCAGCAGAATGAAAAGGGAGCCAACCGTATGGGAAAATATATTTGCTAATGATACATCAGATAAAGGTTCAATCTCCAAAATATATAAAGAACTCACTCAACTCCACTCCAAGAAGACAAATGATCCAATCAAAAAATGGGCAAAGGACCTGGGCAGACGCTTTTCCAAGGAAGAGATACAGAGGGCCCAGAGACATTTGAAAGGATGCTCGGCATCACTAGCCATCAGAGAAATGCAGATCAAAACCACCATGAGGTACCACCTCACACCGGTCAGAATGGCCATCATAAACAGATCAACAAACAGGTGCTGGTGAGGCTGTGGAGAAAAGGGAACACTAGTACACTGTTGGTGGGAATGCAGACTGGTGCAGCCACTGTGGAAAGCAGTGTGGAATTCCCTCAAAAAGCTAAAAATGGAACTGCTTTTTGATCCAGTGATTCCCCTGCTGGGACTATACCCCAAGAACCCCAAAACGCCAATTCAGAAGAACCTATGCACCCCAATGTTCATAGCAGCACAATTTACAATAGCCAAGTGTTGGAAGCAACCTAAATGCCCTTCAGTAGATGATTGGATCAAAAAAGTATGGTACATTTACACAGTGGAATACTACGCAGCAGAAAGAAAAAAAGAACTACTACACTTTGCGACAGCATGGATGGAACTCGAGAGCATTATGCTAAGGGAAATAAGCCAGGGGGCGAAAGACAAATACCATATGATCTCACCTATAAGCGGAACCTAATCAACAATACAAAGATGCAAGGAAAATAAGACCAGCAACACTGAAAGGAAAAGAAACCAACAGAGACAAGAGGGAAGGAGGGAGGGGTGGGTGGGGGAAAAGGAAGGGAAGGGGCAAGTCAAGGAACATATAACAAGGACTCATGGACAAAACCAAAGGGGAAGGATTGAGGGAGGGAGGGCGGTAGGGGGCAAGGGAAAGTCATAGGGGGAAGGCAGAGACAAATGTATTTGGAAAAAAAAAATAATAATAATAATTATTATTCAACCCCTTATGGAAAATTTGTTAACCCTTACACTATGAAAATGTAAATAACCTGTGTTCTTCTAACTTGAAACAGAATTCCCTTTCTACATATACTCGGACACTTGATTATAGGCATTATACCAGTCTTTGGTAAACAGAAACAATTACTTGTAGGAGGATGTTAAAGTAGAAAGCCTTGATCCTTTCTTTAGTTGACAAGATGGCTATAAAAATGAAAAAAGGCTAAAGCAAATGTAGGCTGGTAAGATTTGTCTATCATAAAATTTGTATATTAAGCAGATGTATTAAAAATTAATACGTACTTACTGAACTATTTTATAATAGGAGACACAGTGGTTTACTTCAGGCCCATTTAAATAGGTATAATTTGTTAAACTTGTTTAAATCCTCCACTGGCAAATGTAAAAAGCAAAGGAAAGAGCAGAATATTACTACTGAACAGCATATGAACTTGAAAAGAACAAGGAGGGTATATAAAAGTAAAATTTTAAAAAAATGCTTATTGATTTTAGAGAGAGAAAAAGGGAGGGAGAGAGAAAGAGAAACACTGATGTGAGACAGAAATATCTATTGGCTGCCTCCCCATACATGCTCCAACCAGGGATAAAAGCCCCAACGAGACAACGCTCGAACCAGCTGAGCCACCCAGCCAGAGCTAAAAGCAAATTTTAAAACACCTCTAGAACTTTAATTATCCTCATAAAGGAAAGATTTCTATACATTCACTTGATAAAGAGATTAAGAACAGTTAACAAGGCTAAAAATTTTAACCCCAAATTATTGCTGTGGGTAGATCAGTAGTAGGGAAATTATGCAAGAGAAGCAGCAATATTAAGGTAAAGACAAATGAAGATCAGCTCACTTTATATGTGAAAAAGGGCTAGACAAAATCTTTCAACATTCGTTTTTAGAAATAAATTTCTATTGTGTATGAGAAGAGATCATTTTGTGCTAAAACAAATGAAATCAAAATTCAACCTAGAGGAACACAGCATATTCAGTCTTCTCTAGGGCTCAGGAGCAAGGAGAAAAATAGGTGACATTCTAGTAGAGAGAAAGAAACGGAAGGTCCCAGAGGCCCGCCAACTTTTTTGTTCATGAGTTATCAAAAAATTATTTTGTTTCACTTTCTATTTTTATAATAATACTGAGGAAGTTTTTTATAGGCTACTTACTTTCACAAGCACACATGTGTCCACATGGCTGAAAAAGAACAGCTGCTTTCTTGTCTGAGCATACCACACATTCTTCAATCTACAAAAAAAGAAGTTACACAAGACAGCATGAACATCTACAGATAAAACCCTAAGTTTCTTTTATAACCGAATGTACTTGTTTCCTCTATAAGGAAACACTCTAGGCATGAGAAATTTAATACATACTTCTCTGTCATCTACTCTCTTGGTTATTCATGTTCCCTGCTTAATAGATTCTATCTCCACATTAGTCTCCCTACCCATCCTAGAGAAAAATATAGAAAAACTCTATTTCCTCTGAGGTCAGGAAGAGCAGCTTAGACTTCGATATTCTTTTTTTCAAGAATTATTTTTGAGAGAAAAATGAAAAGAACAAATGACTGGTATTAAGATAAGATTTCCAACATTAGTGAAAATCTAGCTAGATTAGCCAGACTGCTAAAACCCAAAGGGGATTTTTCTGTTTATCCACATCTAAGAAACTCTACCTAACATATACTTTTCCAAGATTTGATCAATTCTCCAACACTGGCTGGAGCCCAATGTTTTGGTCTATTATTTCTCCCTGACCTGTTAAGTCTTCCACAATCTATTCATAATTTCCCTCAATTTTTCCTCCTCTTCATCAGTTAATCTGAGTTTTGAGAGTGTAACTATTTTTTAACATTGGCTCTGGCCTCTCTTACCCCACCCACCACACTGCCCTTAGTTTCATATCCATCTTTCACCTATTCTTCTCCCATCTTAAACACATTCACATTTATCTATACATTGTGTCATTTAATATTACTGTCCAAAATGATGACTGCCACTCATCTAAAACTTCACCTAAACAACCAAGTACTGTACGTGTGCTCTCTCTCTAGGGACTTTCCCAACTTGGACCATTGTGTGCAGAGAATTTATATAGTAGTAATAGTGGTAAGCAGATGGTTGATCAAGGAATTTATATTCCTGGATTCAAATCCTAGCTCCAGTACTAACAAATTACCTAACATTGTTGAGTCACAGCTTCTTTTTAAAAAACCTGAATGCTAATGAACAATCCTTCTTCACAGAGTAGTGAAGAGTATACTAGAATGTAGGGAAAGAAATTAGGTGTCCCTTATTCAAGTGTATCCTTGAACAATTCTAAATATGAGACAGTGAGGTCATAATTAAACTAAAACATAGCAATATGGAAGAGTAGAAAGAGTTTTGAGAACTATTTAAGAAGATCTGTAATCAATAAAATGTGGAGAATGAATGGTGAAGAAAAAGTCTAGCGTACTTGCTAAGTTTCTGCCTTAACTAATTGATTCCAAACAGTTGAAAGAAATAAATTTCAGTCTTCTACATTATAGTTCATTGGACTAAGACCAGGGTGTTCTTTCCAACTCTAGGGTTACTCATCCAGGCTTTAGTTCTCCTCAAGATCAAATTACAATGGAAGAAATGGTTACCTTAGTATAGCAATCTAGCCCCCAAAATGCAAACATTAAGCAGCACACCACTAGAATTGCGGGGTGAGGAGCAGAAATAGGAAAATCCTGGTTTTGGCTGGCTAAGGGATCGATAGCCTGAGGTAAATACACGAGTTTTTCATAACTCCCAATAAAGGCTTTCCTCTCTCATAAGACCAGCTAAGGCTGAGGACCATGGCTAAGTTTCAAAGGTGAGTCAGTCAGCTACCTAGCTTATTGGCTAGTAAACTAAACAGAAAAGTAGGCACAATCAGGGTGAAAGAAGAAATGAAAATCCCAAATGAACACATGGACAAGTTTCAAGAGCAATGATGGCAGGGGGGTGATACTCTGACTGATCTAGCCATTTGTATGTAAGGAACACTTTCCTGTAAATATTTTAAGAACTGTAGTGCTAAGTACTGATAAATGATTAAAATGTGACAATGAAGAAAAGAGTAAATTAAATGTCATGTGTAATGTGTTTAGTTCAATGCCTAATATAAAATCTGTGTTCAATACATGAGAATTCTCTTCTCCCTCTATGTAATGGGCATGCTGGTTTTCTGAATGGTTCCTAATGCAATTGTCTATGTATCTGAATTGTTTATAAAGAGTTTAAAATACTCTAGCAATTTGACATAATAATAATATACTTACCCAATCCTCTATTACTGACCAAAAAAACCTTTATAAATATAACTTTTCCCCTCTTCTGGAATTTTTCCTCAGATTATAGTCCCAGGAATGGAACTACTATATTAAAGCATGTTTATTATAAAAGTTTGTGTATATACGGGGTCCAACACAAATAATGCCCCTTTTTTATTACAAAATTATAAACATATAATTCTGTAACATAACAGTTTCACACTCAAGCACACCATATGACATTTTAGGTAAAATGTTCAAATTCAGATTATAAATTATTACACCCATATTTACCCTACCAACCACACTCAAGCAGGCCTAACTTCTGGACCCTGTACATTGTCAGGATGGTTTCTCAAAAATGTGAAGCCATTTATTCAGCCTCCAGTAGTATTAACAGTGTCCATTTCCCACTTTCCTAGGTAGAAGTTTTTTTAAATTTATTAATTTGACAAGAATGCTAAATAATAATTCATAATTTTTAATTTTGTATTTCTTTAATTGCTGAAGAGACTAAACTTGTTTATTCTCCCTTCCTCCAAATACTCATTTTATAATTTATCTTCACTGAAGGTATGCATTATCCTTTAACCACTTGGGGTCACTCTTTCTTTATCTTCAAAGGTTCTATAACCACCTAGCAAATTTACCTGGTGGGTATGTTAGTTTTTGTACTTTTATACAGGTTTAAAAATTTCATAGTTTAAAAAAAAAATTGAAAGCTTACTAATTCTTGGAATTTAGAACTCTTTTAAAAACGAAATAATAGCATATTCCTTCCATTCAACCTCCCTGTTCTATCAATCCTCCTTTGCAGACATTGTTTTTCATTTTGTCTGTGTATCATAATACAAAAGAACAGAGACTTAAGAATCAGGAGAAGTGCATTAAGATCCAACTGTTCATGTACTTGTTGGAACTTCACTTTTTCAAATGCAAATACTAGAGTTGAACTAGAAGACAATCCATATCTGAGACTCTGCTTTTGACAACCTGGGACTCTGAACTCACTTTACATTTGTCGTAAAGCACCTACCACATCATACATGGCAAAGTAACTTTTAATCAAGTTTGCTAAGAGATTACAAATTTTTAGCAAGAAATTATTACATGCATCTATGTCTTGTCTACAAAACAAGTGCTCAATACAGATTTGTTGAAATAGGCCTTAATATAACAAAAAGTTTCCAGCACAACAGAATACACAAACCAATCTGAAAACAAGAGAATGGCTTAAGATTTTTATCCTTTCAGATTCTTTCCCAAACTGTTACTCCGTAAGCAGGTAACTACAGCAAATAATAAATACCAAGTAGAATAGTCCGCATTTATTTATTAAGCAAAGTTCTTAGATAATGCATATAAAATGCCAACACGGTGCCCAGCATATAATTAGAGCTATTAGTTTTTCCTCGTCACCTTTACTTACAAATTAAGCAGCTACACGCATATTTCAGTATTTTCTTTCCAAAATAACTTCCTTGTGCTTTTTCCTATGCCAATAATTTTACCAAAGATGTATGTATTTAGATCATAAAAAACATTCAGTCTTAGAAGGTTTCATATATGAAAATGTGAGAAGCACTGGTAAGATAACACCTGCTAAGTCACTGCTCGCTGATTCATTAGGAGAGTTAGTGGGGGCTCCTTTCTAATTAATAAAAGTTAATGAATAGCTTAGGAAGCATCAAGAGAAAAATGAAAATAATAAAAAAGCAAATGGGAAAAAAGTATAAACTTCATAACTGAAATTTAAAAAAATATATATCTTTTGATTTAAGCTACTCACCTTGAGAGAAATCACTTGTAAAAAATTTACATCTCACTTTATACATGCGCGCGCACACACAGGAAAAACTAAGAAAATTATTTAGTAAACCAAAATGAGTAAGACGGTACAGTTATGATAATGCACTATGTTACATGGGAAAAGATGAAACCAGTAACCCAGAAAAAAATAATGCTTCTCAAAAAGTAAAAGGAGTCAGAGAAGATGAAAAGTTCAGAATGAATAAGAATTTGGCCCTCTAATAGCAGAATGATCAAACTTTACTTGCCTCCTGGGAAACTAAACAAAATGAGTAGAATCACCTGTGAAGTTTTCTTGCCAAAAATATTTAAAAGCTGACTCTAATTAAGCCTTTACATCACCTTCCAGTTTACAGGAAATATAGAGGACAGAGAAACAAATTAGTGCCATGATACAACAATCAAATAAATACAGAATGTGTAACCTACAAAAAAAAATTGGCCAGTCTTTTACAAAGATAAATACAATACAAAATAGTCCATGCACTCAAAAAAGAGGCAATTTACAACTAATTCATAAGTAATAAAAAGGAATTAAATACAACTTTAGGTTATACGGGGCTTTGAAAGCAAAACAGATTATTTTTAACTACTGCAGTTTACATATAAAAAAAGTAATTCATAAATGGTCTCAATAAATATATAAATTATACATTCCTATATTTAGAACAAGAAGAAAAAAATTAAATAGACACACATCATATAATCTTATATTTCATTAATTGTCTCAAAGATCCTCATGAAATGATAAAATAGCTGTATTAAAAATATATTACCTTCGTTCTGGATTGAACTTGTTCTTTACAGATAAGGCATTTCTTGACTCGTGGAGAACATAAAGAACAGGTAGCAATGTGTCCACATGGGCCAAAAAGAGTATCTCTCTTCATATCTGAGCATACCATACACTCTTCTAAGGTTTCAGAATCATTACTAATCATAGAAGGACTTCGAGAACCCACCTGACCACTAACAAAAGAAAATAAGCTTATTAAATATTTATATTACAAATAAAGTAATTAAAGTGTTTTTTAAAACATCTAGCACATCATTAGTTTATATAAAAACAGCTATAGTTATGTCAAAAAAATTAAACTTTAACATCTATATATGAAATACTGCATATTATATTTTTTCTATTTATATACAGCTCTGCATCTTTACGTTCTGTAGGACTATTCAAATTACAAATTGAACAAGTCCTCACCCAATGAAAAAGAGTAAATCTACATATTTTAACAAAAAATCAAAAACACTAATTAAAAATTTTAACAAAAACACGGTTTCACTCAGAACTTTTTTACCTGTATAGAATCAGCTGAGAAAGTCATAGGACTAAAAAGAAAATCTTAACTAGAGTCCATGTTAGTTACCCTAACTACAGGCAGGACAAAATGAAGTTTCATCAGAGTCCACAACTGACGGGGCACTTTGGAAAACATGTCATTGCAGCTGCTGTTCTGACATTTATTTAAATGTATCCTTCGGGAGCTAAAATTCTATTATAGCAAGACAGAATGCATATATACAAGTATAGATACAAGACATAGAAATACATATATATGACCAACTACAGCTATAGGAAAGGGATGCCCTGTTTCTCCTACAATCTTCAGAAACTCCTGAAGATGTGCATGCACGTACACACACACACACACACAGTAGTTTCATCTTAGACCCCAGTATTAAAGTTATTACTGTAGTAAACTAACCTCATCTCTATATATCTTGTTCTCTACATATTTTAAATGCATTCTGACATTTTTGTAATAGAATTTTATGCTCCTTAAGGATACACTTAAAGAAATGTATATAACTCATTATTTTTCTCTATAGCACATCTCTATACATGGATTCCAAAGATACGTCTTTTCACCACTATACAAATTATAAGAGAGGCAAGAGAGCACAAAGGTCAAGGCACAACTACTGAAATGTTCAATAACAAGAAGTAGGTATGAAGGGTAATTATAGTTGTACAGCATCACCTGGATGAAAACTAATGAGATGTACCTTTTGTGTGTTTTTATAATTTCTTAATAATAAATTTAGTTGTATCAAATAATTAAAATCGCTGTCACATTTTACTTTTAGAAAAGGCACGTGTGAGATGAGAATTTTTAGAAAGAACTCCCAATCAGGAATTGGTTCATACACGTATTCACGTTTTCAATTTCTCATTGATACTTATCGAGTGCCTATCAGACACTGTGCAGGGTGCTTGGCTATTAAGAGTTTGTGTGAGATACACACTATTGGAGAGCAAGTTAAGTGTCTTTCTTTGGAAGAGTCTACTAAAGTTTTAAATACACATAACATTAATCACAGCGATTTCACTACTGAGACCTTTACTTATAAGTAAGTTCCTCTAACATACAGAAATACTGGAAAATCAGACTGGTTTAGAAAAGCCTCTTAGAATTTATTGTAAATAAAGCACTATATTTTATAATGTATAGAGTACAACATGAAATGAGACATGCTCTCTATAGGAAAATTTTTAAGAAAGAAAGGGACAACAAAAACATAGAGGAAGGACATGATGTATTAAAAAGAATTTACACTTGAAACCTACATAATTTTACTAACCAATGTCACCCCAATAAGTTTAATTTAAAAAATAAAAAGGAAAAAAGAGGAAGAGCAAAGACAAAGCCATTTTCAAGTATTCACATTCCCTTTTGAAACCATATACTTTAGGTATAGAATATTAAGTTTTATGATAATAAATAATACAAACCTGACTTTTTCTTTGTGACACTTTGCCAGTGCTTTGCAGAGACTTGGATCAGGACAGAGATCAAGTGGTGACTGACCCTTCTTATTTCGAATGCTAAGGTCAGCACCATTAGCAGCCAAGAAACAGGCGATAGATGCTGCACTCTTCTTCTCTGCCCCCTGGGTACCAAGCCCCATTATTAACTGTAATCAAATGAAAAAGAGTCATTATTTTCCCTTTAGGAATCTGTTGTCAATTATTACCACCAAATACACACTGGGGCAAAAGTAGGTTTAGAGTTGTATGTGAAACATAGAGTTTATTCTTGTATTACTTATTAATTATTGTATTATTTTCCACATGAACAACTGTAAACCTACTTTTGCCCCACCCTGTATATATACATATATAAGGTATATGGGTATATATATGTGTGTGGGGGGGGGTATATATACATATATGAATAGGTATGTGTGTATTATATATGAAAAATACATGTCTGGTAATAACTTACAAACTATATAGTTATTGTGGACATTTATAAATTGCAGTCCTAATATCCACTCCCCCTTCCTGTGTAGCCCTAATTTTGTCAGGTATGTAGGTTGAAGACTGGCATACTCTACTTTTACAAGTGGATCAGTGATGGCTCAAACCAGTCAGATATCAACCTGTGTGATTAGTTCAGGGATGACATATAACCTAAATCAGGCCAATTAAGGTCAATAAAACTCAGAAGAGGACTTCTCATCAAGATATTAAATAAACAGTACTTTCTTTTCTACTCAATTTGGTTCCTAAGCTGTTAGCAACCAACTTGAAACCATTAAGAAGAGGGATAAGTGAGAGAAAAGAGCCAATATCCAGGAGTTGAACCAAGACATGGAGAGAATGAGACAAATCAAGTTCTGATATGATCTGAACTACAGATTCAAACATCTTATCTGGAAAAGGTCATAATAATTGTTAACATTTATAGAGTGTCTACAATAAACCAAGAACTATTTCATGCACTTTCCATGAATTATTTAATTTAACCTTCATAACTTTACAAAGGTAGTTACTACCTTCCCCCTTTTAAATTGAGAAAAAATAATGCAACCAGTAGTTAGAGAATTCACCCATGGTGATATAAAAAGGCAGCAATTCTCAAACACTTTGGTCTCAAAACCTCTTTACATTCTTAAAAACAATTCTAAAATTCATATGGAAAGGTGAAGGACTTAGAATAGTCAAACAACTTTAAAGAAGAAGAAAGTTAGAGGACTTATACTACCTGACTTCAACATTTATTATAAAGCTACAGTAATCAAGATATTGGGTTGGCATCACATAGCTAAAGACATAGATCAATAGCTGAAGACATAGATCAACAGAATAGATTATCAGATCCACAAAGGCTTCACATATACGGTCAACTGATTTTGGATAAAGGTACAACAGATGATTCAGTACAAAAAGACAATCTTTTCCACAAATGTTGCTGGGATTACTGAACATCCATTAACAGAAAAAAAATGAACTTTGATCCATATCAATATTTATAACTATATCTATTTACCTATATCTATATATGTGTGTATTAAGTATGTATATATACACACACAACTTAAACAGGAGAAAACCTTAGCAACCTTGAGTGTGGCAGATTTCTCAGATGGAACATAAAAAGCCAAAACAATGAAAAAATAGTTATTCAAATTTAAGAGCTTCTGCTCTTAAAACACTGTTTAAAGAATGAAAAGATAAGCCACAGACTGGGAGATAACATGTGTATCATATCACATATCTGATAAAGAACTTGCATTCCGATTACATAACTCTCAAAACCCAATATTAAGAAAACAGCTCAACAAAATAATGAATAATGGTATGAACAAACATTCACCAAACAGAAGTAGGTGGCAAAAAAGCCCATGAAAAGATGTTCAGTATCACTGGTCACTAGGGAAATGCAAATTAAAGCACAACAAATACCACAATACATCTATCTGAAGGGCTAACGTTAAAAAAGAAGAACCAAGCAACTTCTGGAAAGAATGTGAAGCAATTTTGTTAGCACTGACTATGATTTAGTTCATAAATTAAATTTCTACATATGTAGCTCTCATAAAATATTTTATCAGATACAGGTTAAATCAGCCATAAACATTAAGAAATTGCAATAAGTGTTGTTCAATATCAGCAGTCAACAGGGAAATGACTTTCAGTGGTACTGAATAAAAGACTATCTTTACTCACTGTGTTCTTGGATGGTTCCCAGGCAGCATCAACCTTCCCCACATCTTGCATATCTTGCAGCTGACGTAGCTGAGACAAGGTGTGATGCCTCAGAGCTTCATGCAAAGGAGTATCCCCATCCTTATCCTGAATATCTAATTTGGCACCTGCTCGGACCAAAAGCTAAAAGAAAAAGACATCTCATTTTGCTAAACTATCCTCATTCACAAGAAATTATACCATATGTAAAATAACTGAGAGAGCCTACTTACCTGAAGGGCTGCCACTAAAGCTAATAATTCTTAAGTATTTGCTTGCTACTACTCTACAGCCCTGTGGCTCCCTACAAATAGTGATGACTTCTGGTTATTCAAATATATTGAATTAAAGAAAAGAGAAAGAAATGAGAATCAATATGTTTATTTCATCTACTCTAAGATCAAGGTAACTGAGGGAAATTTAAGACTTTTTTCCTATTAATTTCAAATATGTGAGGTAGAATATTTTAAGTACTTCCAAAAGGACCCACTCATAATGTTCAAAATTATTCTATTATTTAAACAAACAAGAAGTTATATTTTATTCCATTCTCTTTGTTCAATTTTCTCCAAGCATATGTTCATAAGGGAAGTTCAAATATCATTGATAAATCAAGAATTCTTAGCAAGAGGAATTTTAAATAACAATAAATGTGAAGTTTGCTAAACTACAACATAAAATGCAGAGCTGATATATTTCAATAGCTATTTTAAGGAGTAAATATAACTTTGTTTAAGATATTGCTTATGGTGGTGTTTTTTGGTTGGGTTTTTTTCTTTAATTCTCACCCAAAGACATGTCTTCATTGCTTTTTAGAGAGAGAAAGGAAAGGACAGAGAGAAACACTGATGTGAGAAACATCAACTGGTTACTTCCCACATGTGCCCCAACCAGGGATCGAACCCACAATGAAGGTATGTGCCCTGACCAGGAATCAAACCTGTAACATTCTGGTATATGGGACAGTGCTGCAACCAACCAAGCCACACCAGCCAGGGCAAGACTTTGCTTACAGTGCTTTAACAGTTTCTTTAATCCTTTCTACAAATGCTACCAGAGTTTTAGAAAAGCACCACACATAGAACCAATCTCAAGTATATAGTCTTAACTATTTTGGCAAATAGTTATTTGTTTATCTGGTTTTACTTTGTTCCAAAAGGTTACATAAAATGTCATTCCAGGGCAGCGTTTCTCAAATTTGAATGTGTATCAAAATCACCTGGAAGACTTGTTAAATCACAGACTGCTGCTAGTTCCCACCCCTGGAAGTTCTGATTTGGTTGGTCTGAGGTGGGGACCAAGAATTTACTTTTCTATTAAGGTCATAAGGCATGCTATGCTGATGCTGCTGGTTCAGCCTCCAAATTTTAAGAGTCACTGCTCTGTCAAAAAATTTAAACAGATAATCTTTCAAATATTTTGTCTGGAATCACCAGATTAGTAAAATTTATATATATCAGCTTCTTTGAAACCTGTGCAACAAATGTCCAGCCAAAGCTTTTAATTACAGTTCAGTTTCAATTATCTAAATTAAGAGGTAATGTATTTTTTTTTTTTAATCTTCACCCAAAGACATGCTTATTGATTTTAGAGAGAGGGGAAGGGAGGAAGAGGGGGGAAAAACATTGATGTGAGAGAGAAACATCAATCAGGTTGCTTTTTGGACATGTTCTTACCAGGGACAAAACCCACAACCTAAGCATGTGCCCTGTCCAGGAATTGAACCCATGACCTTTCAGTTTACAGGACAATACTCCAACTAACTGAGCCACATCAGCCAGGGCCAAGAGGGAATGCACTTTTTAAAAACTAATTTATATGTTATTTTGAAGTTCTCTGCTTTAATATTCTGGGAATTCACAAACCTGGCAACAAAAATATAAAAACTTTGAGTATCAGAGCTTTAAGATATTCCCTACTATAAATTAATCTTATACAAAAGAGCCTAAAATCATAACTTTAACATATAACTATGCCTTTTGAGAAATCTAACAATATGTTTAATTTTCAAAACATTCTAGAAATCTGGTTAATACCATTCTAAACTAAGATTCACATTAGTAAACACTTTACCCTAACAATCTGGGTGTGTTGTCGTTCCACAGCAAGATGCAGGGCCGTTTGTTGGTTCACATTCTGGATATCCAGGTTTGCATTACCCTGAAAAAAAAAACAAAGTTTACAAAGTTAAATTTTGACAACAGTGAAAAAATACTAAAACTGTAACTCTTTAGAAGTAAGTAACATTGGATTCTGTTAACCACTTTCCACTCCTCTAGCTCCTGGGACATTGTTCTCATATAGTAACAGTTGCGGGTAATACAGGAAAAATTAAAAGGACAGCAAACTTCCTTAACTAAAAACAGCAAGTCTGAAATATGAACACAGCTCCTTTTAGATCTCCATTACAAAGCAATGGAGATAATCAATACCTTTTAGCTATAAATATTTCCTGAAAATTTTTATTAATGAGTCTTCATATTGGATTTAGATATACTTTAATGCCCTAACAAAGTCACTTTCTATTGCTGCATAATTGAGCTCTTCCACTTTCAGTGAAAAGGAACTTTGTTTGAGAGTGAGAAGGCAACACTTAATTAGTATACAAAAATACTTATAAAGGAAGAGCAGAATGTCCCACCAGAGTCCTGGGATAGCTAAAGGGACTGAGAAGCAAAAGCAATGAACTTGGTATCAAGAACTTAGGTTCATGTGCTGTCACTTACAAGCTTTGTGAAATTTAAGTAAGTATTGTACCACTTTATATCTATTTTCAGGTTAATGTGAAGAGTTTAAAAAGTAACATACAAAACTGCTTAACACAATGTCTAGCGTATTTTTTAGAAAAAGGAAATTAAGAAAAGGGGTACAGGTTCAAAGGATATGTCTTAGAACCATTCATAATCTCTAAATACAATTCTGATACCCAAATGTGCCCTTTCTTGGAGCACCAGATAGAGCTGAAACTCCATTAATGCTCTGACATCTTCTGGGAGTAGGAATTTGTTTTTTTTATTGTTTATGTTTCTTTGAGTGAGATTATGAGGTACCTAATCTCAACCTACTTTCTTATCATGTCTGTTCTCATATAAATGCAGAAAGTGAGGCACTTCCTTTTCAAGTTTCCTGAGCTTTTCCATCATTTAGATTTTCCAAAGTAATATGCATTATATGAATGTACCATAATTTGTTTATCCATGCACCAGCTAATGAACATTTGGCTCGCTTCCAATTTGGGATTATTATAAATAAAGTTGTTATTTAGTATAACAAGTATGTGTGTGGGTACACATCTCTTGGGTACATACCCAGAGTGGTACCCAAGGTTGTATAGTGGGTTGTATAGTGAATATACGTTTAACTTTATAAAAAACTGCCAAATTGTTTTTCGCAATGGCTGCTTTGGAAAAACACCAGCAATGTTTGTGTATTCTAATTGTGCCACATCCTAATGAACACTTGGTTTTTCTGGCCTTTTAAATTTAATAATTGTATTTGATGATTAGTAATATCTCAATGTGACTATATTATTTCTGTAATTTTAGCAATATCACAGGGTATATGGTCAATATACAAAAAATAATTCTATTTTACACACTAATAATATACAATTATACATTGAAATTTTTAAACAATTTACAGTAGCGTCAAAACTTAAAGATAGGTCTAATATGTGCAAGAGCAATCAAACTCCCAAGACTTTTTAATAAAAACAATCTGATTCTAAAATATATATATGGACAATCAAAAGACCTAGAATATTAAAACAATTCTGAGGAAAAAAAATTTTCCCGAACACATTGACTTTTATTCATTCATGTTAAGACTGAAATGATACCTGTTGCATTTAAATGCTCATTAATGTAAATGGCTGAACAAATCCATTTCAATGGATACTCAATATCCCAAATAGTTAAAAGTTACTTCAACACAGCCTCATGACAACTCCCACACCAAAACAGTACTTTATTTTGTAAATTTAAACTCATAATTATTCCCATGTTATGGTTTTTTAGTTGTCAAGTGTACAAGGTAAAGAAAAAATTTAATTTGATGGGGGTTGCTTCTGGAAAACAAAGTTGGAAGACTGTATCTGATTTCAAATCTTACTATAAAGCAACAATAACCAAGACAGTGCAGTATTGGCTTAAGGGCTGTCATTTAGATTAGAATGAAAAAGAATATATCATAATTAATAATACTTCTAACAGAATGCATTTTAATAATAAAAGCTTACAGTGTCAGAGGAAAGGTAGTTTTACTTTTGAACTATTTCTTTATCCAAACTTGTGTAGTTTATGGAGGGTATATCTTATGATCTGGGGCTTAATTACACATGAAATACTATCTTCTAAATTTTTCTGCTGTTTCATCCTTTTAACTGTAAATTCCTTGAAGTCAGGGATCACAGATAATTCTTTGATAATTTCTGTGCTTCTATATGGCATATACTTGACTGAAGCATTTTAAAAATTTGCTGAATATACTAAAACATTATAAATACTGCAATGAAGAGGCTCCAGAAAAATTCAGTCATAAAAACTTATTTCTGAGATGAATGAAATGACTAAAGTGAGTGTGTGCTACTATCCAGCAACAGGTTCCAGGGGTCCAGCAGTAATCATGAACTGAATCCCCAGATCCTGACTGCAGCCTGATGGGAACTGGCCACGCCAGCTTATATATCAATATGATGGTTCTCGGTCCTGTGGCTTACTGATTCGTCCACTACAGTGGCAGCAAGTCTGGGAAATCCCTTTCAGCTGATGCTCATTTCATTGGATCAATCCAGGAAGACTGTGCAGAGGGAATACTGGGAACTGAGAGGTACAAACACACATATACACCCCCCTCCCTCCATTTAACAATGAATGTTAGACAAAGAGTGAAAGTTCACTATTTCTGAATTTGCATCATCATGGGATTTTACTGTAACATGCTAATATGTAGCTGATGAATTAATTAATTAATGGACGGCAATGGTCTAAAATTGTGAAAAATTTCCTACCTGATGTACCAATAATTCAGCCACTTCCACATGATTATTAAGGGCAGCCAGATGCAAGGCAGTATAACCATCATCTTTCTTCTCATCCACAATCCATGGTCTTGGTAATTTAGACAGCAAAACACGCATCGCACTGAAAGTCAAATTTATGTTATTTATATATTTACATAATTTGATATTCAATTATGTTTTTGGAGATAAATATTTTTAAAAACTTTTGAAGCCAAATATAATGCTTTCTAAAGAAAATTATGCACAGAGACAAACAAAAATTCAATTTTTCTAAGTCTCAAGTGTACACTTTTTGATAATTTAAGAGGTAAACAAACTGTCACTGTTTGGAGAATAGAATCAAAATAGAATGGGAGGAATCATACTACATAATATGAAACTATACTATAAGGCCATAGTAGTCAAAACAGCATGATATTGGCATAAAAACAGACACATAGCTCAATGGAACAGAATAGACAGCCCAGAAATAAACCCACACCTTTACAGTCAATTAATATTTGACAGAGGAAGCAAGCACACACAATGGGCTACAGAGAGTTTATTCAATAAATGGTGTTGGGAAAATTGGATGGGTGTGTGCAGAAAAATAAAACTAGACCACCTTCTTACACTACACATAAGAATACATTCAAATTGAATCAAAGACTTAAACTGAGACCCTAAACCATAAGAATCCCAGAAGAAAACATAGGCAGCAAAATCTCAGACACTGCTAGTCGCAATATTTTATCAAATATATCTCCCCAGGCAGGGGAAACAAAAGAAAAAAATAAACAAATGGGACTTCACCAAACTAAAAAGTTTTTGCACAGCGAAGGAACACATCAACAAAAAATTTTTTAAACTCACAGGATGGGAGAACATATAGGCAGATACATCTAATAAGGGATTGATATCCAAAATTTATAAAGAACTTACAAAACTCCATGCCAAAAAAAAAAGCAACCCCATTAAAAAATGGGCAAAGGGCCTGAATAGACACATCTCCAAAAAGGACATACAGATGGCCAACAGACATATAAAAAGATGGTCAACATCACTAATCATCAGAGAAATACAAATTAAAACCACAATGAGGTATCACTTCACACCTGTCAGAATGGCGATCATCAATAAATCAACAAACAACAAGGGCTGTCAAGGATGTGGAAGAAGGGGAACTCTTTTGCACTGTTGGTGGGAATGCAGACTGGTGCACCCACTGTGAAAAGCAGTATGGAGATAACTCCAAAAATTAAAAATGGGTCTGCCTTATGACCTAGTGATCCCACTGCTGGGAATATATCCAAAGGAACCAAAAACACTAATTCGAAAGAACATAAGCACCCCTATGCTCACTGCAACATTATTTACAATTGCCAAGATACGGAAGCAGCCCAAGTGTCAATCAATAGATGAGTACATAAAACAACTATGGGACATTTACACAATGGAATACTACTCGGCTATAAAAAAGAAAATATTCTTCTTTGCAACAGTATAGATGAACCTGGAGAACATTATGCTAAGTGAAACAAGCCAGTCAGAGAAAGACAAATACCACATGATTTCACTCATATATGAAATCTAATGAACGAACTGAACAAACAAGCAAAACAGAGACAAACTCCTAGATAGCAGAATGACAGGTGGCCACCTGGGAGGGAGGTTAAGAGGTGGAGGGATTAAGCAAAAAGGAAAAAGGACTCATGGACATGGACAATAGTGTGGTGACTATTGGGGGATGAGGAGTATAAGGGAACTAAATAGTAATAGGAAAAAAATAAAATAAAAAACAAGTAAATAATACAACAGGAGTACTACAAAAAGAAAACATTAAAGATAAAAAATATCAAAGAGTTACGAAATATAAACTTATAAGTCTCAATATAAATATAGACATATTTCTATATAAACATATATAGAAATATATAAACATAGTCTCACATGAGACTATGTTTATTGTAAGGATAAAAATTTGATTTGTGGAATCTCTTAGGTTCAATTTGAATAGTATATATTAATGAAAGTTAATAAAGAACAACCAAATAACAGAAATACTAATGTAAAAAAACAGTAATAACTGAGATATTATATGTAGCTGGCAGATTATCATAAACTCTACATAGTTAAAAATCTATATCATTTCGTAGTACTCAATCCACTGATGTCAACACACACAGAATGGATCATTACAATCTAATATTTAAAATTTAAGAATCAGTTAACAAAGTATTTCCAAAATAAAAAGACAAAGTTATCTTAAAGGGCAACAAAAATTAAACCATAAAAAAGCAGGAAAACTAATTATGAAGAAATGATACTTCTTAAAGAAAAAGCTAGCCAGTTCCCAAAAAAGTAAAATTAAAAGCAACTTTTCTTAACAGAAATGTTTTATTGAGAGAGAGGTTTTATCCTCACCCGAGGACATGCTTATTGATTTTAGAGAGAGGGGAAGAGAGGGAGAGAAAAGTGGATGACAGAGAGAAACACTGATCTGCTGCCTCTCACAAGTGCAACCGTAAGAAACCAAACCCACAACCTAGGCATATGTGCTGACCAGAACCGAACCCATGATCTTTCGGTTTACAAAACACTGCAACCAATGGAGCCACACCAGCGAGGGCAACAAATATGTTTTATGTGGAAAAATTATAATATAATTTGGGAAAGAATCTCCCTTAACATATTTACCCACTAATTTTTTTAAAGACTGTAATCTAAGGTAAGTGCCCCACATAAAAAAGGCAGTAAACACAGGAAACAAAAGCTTTTAAAATTGTTCCAATAGAGTATAAAAGGTAATAAAATAATAGTAAGATACATATTACTTAAGGTGATAATATAAGAATTTGAAATATAGAAATGTTATAAACATATAGACCAACAGTCTGAAAATACAGAGTTAGAATATGTATAAATGAAACTGTGAGTCTCTAATGAAAAGACTAAAGCCTAACAGGACCCAGAACATGTTTCCTCAATGGCAGTGGCCTATGAATCTCACATAGCAAGTCCATGAAGTCTGAGAACAGGCTTTGGAGGATACAAAAACCTTGAAAACTATACTCAAATATGAAAGTTTATAGCTTTTATCAGATTTTCAAACAGGTTTATGATAGAAAATATACTGAGAATCACAGCTTAAAGATATCCTTCAGTGGTTGATATTGAAGTTATAATCATTGTTTAGGCATGACAGACTTCTTTGGAAATCTGTGGGAAGCTGTGGACTCTCATCCCAGAGAAATATTCATAAAAATATTAACCTACTTTTGAGTCCAAAAATCCCTAAATTGCATTCATGGACCTTACAAAAGCTAAGGTTTCCTGCTTTAGTTCACTTTCAGTAATTATAAGGATTCTAATCCTTCTCATTCAGTGAATCAAAACAAAATACTAGGTATTCTATAGACTTTGATCCCGATCTTTTTTTAAATCCTCACATGAGACTATGTTTATTGATGAGAAAGAAAGTGAGAGACATTAGTTGCCTCCCGTACACACCCAGACCAGGCATTGAACCCACTACCTAGGCATGTGCCCTGATCCAGAATCGAACCCACAGCCTTTTTGGTGTACAGGACAATGCTCCAACCAACTGAGCCACTTGGCCAGGGCTGTCCCAGATTTTTAATGGGGAACTTGTACAATATCCTACTTCTGAATGCTTGGATTTGACATAATCATGATGCTAATGACATACATTATCTATTATTCTACACATTTGGCCATATAATTAACAAAATTTATAGGAGTTTTATGATTCTTGGAAAGTTTTAAAGATGCAAGTATTAAATCATGTGAAACGTTTTATTAAAAATAAAATGTAATTTTTTAAAATAATGCAAACACATCATTAATTTAAAGAAAAATGGTGATATAAATTAAGAAATTGCAAAATAAGTTGTAAGTTATTTGGTAGGGGGATAGAGATAAAAAGGAATAAAGCAGAAGACAGTTCTTCATTATAAGCTTTGTGGTAGTATTTGATTTTAAGTTAAAACACTAACATAATACTCAGGCTTACTGTATTAAAATCTCTTAATTTGCAACTTTACCCTTGTAGGTAAGATACATACATGTTATAAGTTTTAAATTATAAGTATGGTTCACATTAATTTCATCAAGTTCTTTACTAGTCACATTATTAAACCTTCTCTATATTCCTGAGAAGCTGGTTCTTATGGAACCATGTTTCCCCACTATCTCCCGTTCCAGTTTCAGAAGTACATTCCCATATTATATCACCAATAACTCAAGAGCAACTCCTCCTCTGCATATAAGGTGTCTGCTGAGATGGAGCAAACCATCACTTACTACTTCTTCTGGTCCTGCGTTTCCTAAGGGAAAAAGCTAGTGAAAGCTGCAGTCCCTCAGGAAAAAAAGCCAATGGGTCAGATAGTTTTGAGGCTTTTAAACAAAAATATATTTGTATTCTTGTAAGTCTCCTGCCTCTCTGGTCTCTCATTAACTTCACTGTCTTTTTACTTTTAACTCTCTTTATACAGTATGTGCAATTAAACTGTCAAAACAGGAAACAGGAGCAATTCCAGGCTACTGTTGGAAGTGACAAAAATAATCCTAGTCCCTTCTAGATCACATTCTATAAGTAAATTAAATTTAATGTTAAAACGAAAAATTCACATTTTTAGAAAGCAAGATTTTATTGTAGAATAAATCTATTAATTAATCCCATTTACACACATGTTGTAAATTATACTATAGAACAACCATATGAAAATATCTGTGTTCCTCTCACAATCCTGTGATTAAGAAATATATCATAAAAATAAAAATTAAAAGAGATTTGGCATTAGGTAATCTAAATGCATCATTTTAAATTGATTAAATAAATTATTATAATATTAGCAAGGTATTTTAAAGAAAAATGAAAAGTTCGATTTCCCATAGAAGCAGCATTATATTGGCAAATGAGTGAATACATCAGATCAAAGTTAATTAAGTAAATAAAACATACAGATAACAAACTAGAGAAAAAGAGATCTGTAGAAGAGCCAGAAGTCTAATTGGAATAGCAATACATTTTTTAACAGTAGAAAAGATTAAAATTATGTCTTTTTCTAAAAAAAAAAAAAATGATGATTGGTTTAAAAGAGTGAAGAAATGGTTTCTATG